GAAGATATTGTAAGAATACTTATTTATGTATAATCAAAAAACACAACTTAAATAGTTTCATTTTCACGGGGTGTTCCAAAAAAGTTACACTTGAAAGTTATGTTTTTTTTTTATTGAAACACTATACATCAGAGTTATGTTTCTTTATAGTGAAAAACTGTGAATAACGTTCATTTTATATTATCCTTCCAACGAGCTGATTTCATTATCACATTTAATAACCATTTTGTGTAATAAAGGATCTACATATATTTTTTGGAATTTAAATGGCTATAGTAGGCAAACAGTTAAAATTAGAGAAAAACAGCTTACATGTTTTAAGCTCTATTCTATGACATGATCAAATTGATGCAACTTTTGATCACTTTGAATGTGATATTTTCTTAAATACAGCTTAAAAAGTTAGGATAGGGACATTTAAGCTGTTTTTCGTGATTTTCAACTGTTTGGGTACTATAGCCACCTATTTAAAAAAAAGTATATATTTTTAGGTGGTTGTAAATAGATTCTTCATTATACAGAATATATATCAATAATTATTAATGTGATAACATCGTTGACATCAGTGTACAACTTATTTTAGAACAACCTGTATAATTGAAATTAATTTTAATATGTGACTTTTCTAAGAATACTGAAAAAAGTACACTTATGAGATTCTCGAAAAATACACAATTAAGAAGTTATAAACTGTCTCTAAATAATAGTGAACAACCTTGTATATTATGCAATATAGATGTACATTTTAGATGATGGGAGGATACTTACGTGCAGAAGGTTTATTTATACAAAGAAAGAAAATTAGATCTATTTTAAGTGAGATTGATCCAATTGGAACGTCTAGCAGGTGGAGTTCTGCTATTCGTAGGAGATCTTATAAAGTCCCTACACCAAATTCTCTATGGCATATGGATGCGCATTTAAAATTGTCAAGGTTAGTGTAGTATTTTGTAATAGAATCTGAACACTTAAAATAAGTAATTTACGTCAAAATAAGGGCAACCCATGAAGTATTGTCTTCTTCTAAAATTTTTGGACTGCATCTTTAAACTATTTCGCAAGATATTTTGTAACTGGCAGCGTAATTTTTTTTTTATAATTATGATATTGATTACCTTTATAATGACGCTTAGTTTACTGTACCAAGATAAGCAATTTCAGAAAAACCTGAATATTTATTAATATTGAAAAAAAGATACATTTAAAAATAATTTTTGATTGCATTAATTATACTCGGTCTTCATTTCAAAACTTCTGATTTTACGTAAATTTAAAAAAGAAAAAAAAAACAGGTGAAATTTTATATTAACACTAACTAATTTTCTAAAGTTATCCTCCTCCTTCCACTTCTTCTCACCTTTAAAATTTTAATAGGAAATGTACCAAATGTGGCACATTTTTGAAAAGGTAATTTAATAGAAAATTAAACATTACCAATATTATCCAAATTCCGATTTAAGCGCCCTCTTGAGGGAAAAATAATCATTATGTAATTCAAAATGTGACACCTCATTTGAAACCTATTTTTATTAGTAATTCAATCAATAAATAAGATTGTCCTCGAATCACATTTAATAAGTAAAAGCAACTAAAAAGAAAGATGGGTGTACCACAATTTTGCTTTTTTTATTAATTCATATTATTAAATATGATACCAGGATAAACTTATTTATTGTATTGAATTACTAATAAAAATAGCTCAAGAGGGAAAACCAGAATTTGATAACACAATATTGGCATTGTTGAATCCTCATTAAATTACCTTTTCAAAAATGTGCCACGCTTGGTACATTCTCTCTCTAGTCAGAAGTTATATGGGGTGGCAAGTTTTGAAATAAAGATCCGGTATAAGAGAACATACTGAAAACAATTGCAAATTATAAACTGTACAGTACGACAAGATTGAGATGTTAAGTCCGAATTAGATGCACACTTGCAAATCTAAAAATGGGAGTAGTTATCTCAGTTAATGGCTGAACTTTGATGCTATTGTTTCAGTTATCTATTTGGGCAGTGTGCCAAATTTATCTGTTCTGATTTTTAGCCAGTGTGCATCTTATTCTGACATGCCATCTCAATCTTGTCCTGTTGCATCTTTTTTTTTTTATTATGTTACATAGTTGTCTTTTCAGGTGGGGATTTGTTATCCATGGATGTATTGATGGCTATTCAAGAATGATCATGTATCTCTCATGCACCACATCAATACAGGCAGAACCGGTATTAAAAGAATTTACGAAAGCTATTCAAAGATATGGTTTACCGTCACGTGTGAGATCTGATCATGGATATGAAAACATTTTAGTGGCAGTACTTATGAACTTACTAAGAGGTATGAATAGAGGAAGCCATATTAGTGGAAAATCTGTTCATAATCAAAGAATTGAACGCCTTTGGCTTGATGTATATAAGGAAGTAGTATACAAAATGTCTAATGAATTGTATGGTTTGGAAGATGAAGGTTTATTAAATGTAGATAATTTAATTCACAGATTTTGCGTACAATATATATACAAGCCATACATTAATCAGCATTTGAAATCATTTAGAACCGGATGGAATTTGCATACCGTAAGAACTGAACGTAATAAGAATCCAAGACAACTTTGGCTTAATGGCATTCTTAACAGTTACAACTCTGATTCTACTGCAATTGCTGGTATATTCAATGAAACAAGTATTGTAAGCCAAATATCATATGCGCTGCAATCAAATGGAGTCAGTGTTTCAACAATTATACAACCCGAAGAAGATATTGAACCATCGGCATTTACTGCTGTACTGGATTTAAGTTTTGAACAAAAAAATGCCCTTCAAAGAATTTATGAAAACCCAACAATTTCATTGAAAGAAAAATATTGTTTATGTGTCAGTGAATTACAAAGTTAAAAAAATATTCCAAATATTTTACACTAAATAATAATCGGCCTCTTTCAACAGCAGTCAGCAACCATTTGACTTCCATAACATTTCAAATATTCCCTAATAACGCACCACACATGTAACGAAAAATATGTATGTATAATACTCATACACAGAATACCCCCCTTTTTTTTAGAAACAATAGTTAATGTAATAAAAAATTGATAAATAATATATTATGAGGGAATTAATTTTATTAAAATGGTTTGCTGAGCTTAATATTATTTTTTAAATGGTACCAAAGTATTCATAGATAGTACAGTTAATTATACTTCTAATCCAGTTTTTATTTGGGATTAATAAAAAAAATAAAAGATACTTTTCTAAAATTTTATTTGAATATATATTGGACTTTAGTTCATGCTGTGTAAAATGGAATTCTTAGCGTGTGCACTTGTACAAACGGTTTGCTGACTGCTGTAAAAACAGACATAACCCATAACATAATTTAATTAAACAATATTTGTATCTTATAATAAAAATATTCTCTCAAAAATTACAGCTTTATTTTATTAAGCAATTTATTTTTAAAAAGGTAAACTGTAGGATGCCCGATAATTTCCCTATTTATTATGCTTATTACTCTTAAACAGGGTTGATAAAATTAATTTTTTTATAAAATTATGATTTTTTGACCGATACCTCAATAACATAATTTATTTAGTCTTTTATTTTATACATAATATACCTATTATTTGTCTACAGTTGAAAATGCATTAATTTGTTCAAAAATGTAAAACAAAGCAAAGAAACTATTTTTTAATAAATTTCTTTTTATTTAAATAATTTTAGTTTGATTTGGTCAAATTATTGGCTTTTATGTAACTTGAATTAAATTGTCTATCAACTAAAAATAATACTATTAATAAATGTTGAATTTAAAAAAATCTCGATCTGCTGCTTCTCTTCTTTTTTTTTGCTTCAACTCCTGACTTTATGTACCAGGAATAAAACTTTTATAAACTCAAAAACAAATCTTATAATAAATCAAAAACAAATCTTATAATAAATCAAAAACAATTTATTTTAAAAACACTATATGTAATAGACAACATAATTTAACTACAGTTTTCATAAAAAACAGTCTACTTTTGCACAGAGTCCAATATAAACTAAAAATAAAGATTGTACTAATTCATAAAAACAAAACCATTTTAACTTTAAAAAATCAGGAATCATGAAAAAGAGCCATTGCTAACAAAACAAACTTACAAACGAACCCTATTACACTGATTTATAGTAACAGTATAAACGTCTATAACTTTAAAAAATCAGGAATAAAACTTTTATAAACTCAAAAACAATAAAATCGACAGGTCTGAGCATTTCTAACGATATTTTAATAAAGTTAGCAGGTGGGGAATTTATTTTAAAAACACACTATGTTTAAAAAAACAAAATATAACTATAGTCTTCGTTTTGCACAGAGTCCCATATAAACTAAAAATAAAGATTGCACTAATTCATAAAAACAAAACCATCTATAACTTTAAAAAATCAGGAATGAAACTTTTATAAACTCAAAAACAATAAAATCGACAGGTCTGAGCATTTCTAACGATATTTTAATAAAGTTAGCAGGTGGGGAATTTATTTTAAAAACACACTATGTTTAAAAAAACAAAATATAACTATATAACTACAGTCTTCGTTTTGCACAGAGTCCAATATAAACTAAAAATAAAGATTGCACTAATTCATAAAAACAAAACCATCTATAACTTTAAAAAATCAGGAATGAAACTTTTATAAACTCAAAAACAATAAAATCGACAGGTCTGAGCATTTCTAACGATATTTTAATAAAGTTAGCAGGTGGGGAATTTATTTTAAAAACACACTATGTTTAAAAAAACAAAATATAACTATATAACTACAGTCTTCGTTTTGCACAGAGTCCAATATAAACTAAAAATAAAGATTGCACTAATTCATAAAAACAAAACCATCTATAACTTTAAAAAATCAGGAATGAAACTTACAAACTCAAAAACAAATCTTATTATAATAAATCATAAAAACAATATAGACGTCTGTAACTTTAAAAATAGTAATAATAAAATGTTCACATACAAAACTTAAATAAGATTATATTCATAGGAAGAAGGGTCATTGAGGTAACAGTCCATCTCCCTATTTAACTCTTGTTGAGTTTCATAACTCATTCCGATTTCAATTAAATTGCCACATGTATGTGCAATTGGCCTACGAGCAATACCAGAATTGGTATGAAATCCAACAAGAATTTCTTTAGGCATTTGCACTGATCCTGTAACAAATAACAAAAAGGTATTTAACTGATTTAGAGTCAAAGATCCTACATAATTTTGTAAGTAATAGAAATATCTGTCTTCATCATTTGTTGGATCTTTTATTATTAATTTTAATGCCCCCATTACTTTGGTAGGAGTTGGCTGCATTTTGTACCAAATACTATTAACTGTTTTGTAGGACATGTTGTTTAAAAAATCTGCAATATCAGCCGGAAGACCTTTTTGCAGTTCTTTGTACAATGGTTTGGGTTGGTCTATTAGAAGTTTTTCTGCAATAGCTAATACTTGTTCTTTTATTTCTTCAGCTTTAGGCAGATCATACAAAGCATTGGCAGAGTAAAAGCTGATTAATCTGTTTCTTTCGAAGCTTGATAGCTCATCGAACTTGTACAATGCCTTATGCAGCAGCCTTCTCTCTGCTGTGGTAATCAGCAACAAAAAATCTTGCAGCAGCAGGTCAGAATTATTTTGACAATAATCATCACATTTGTTTGATAGCCCAGTTAGTGTATATAGTGCCAGCTTATGTGGAACTGTTTGTGTTAGTAATATCATGTGCCCTAATATTTTCCCCAAAACCTGAAACTCGTTTTTCACTTTTTTTACTTTGTGAAAAGGCACATGCGGCACAAAGACATCATTCCCTTGAAAATATTTTCCATTAGCAAATATGCTGGACCAGAAAATACTAAACATTTCATTCGTTAGACCTCCGCCGTCAATGCCATCTTCACCAATAAATTTGACTCCCAGTTTGAAATCACATATGTCTTTCTCGTTTTTATAAATATCAAACATGGTTTCAACCACTTCATCCCTTTTCAAATTTATCAACTTTACTTCTGCCTCCTCCGGTAAACACGGAAACTCAATTTCATCCTGTGTATCAATGTTTAAAAGTAAATCCTCCTCTTGCAAGTGAAAACCTATAACACAATAAACAATTATGCTTATGTAGTAATCCTTATTCTGAAGAAATTCAACAAAAACACAATCAATTACTTAATATATCCTGCCCATCTTTTGACTCTGGTATCAAAGAATTTGAATCTGGATGCACATTTGCAGTTGTATTAGGATCAAAACCAGATTCTACTACTTGAGATGACCCTGCAAGTGGTTGAGATGATCCTGCTAGCTGAGACGATCTTGTAACAGGCCAAGATGATCCTGAAAGTGGCTGTGCTACTGATTGGGGTTCAACTTGTATCAATGGCAGATTGTTTGGAAGATCTCGTTTAGGAATAATAATGATTTGTCCTTGTTTTATTTCCTCTTCCAACCTATTTCCTGATGTTATTGTTTCCATGGGTATAACCGATACTACCTTACCTTTATCACAAGAACCAATGTCAAAGCCTGACATTAGCAGTAAATTTTGTATGCGTGTATCTACTATAGAGTTCACAATAGCATCCCTAATTTCAGTCAGGTTCCAATGTCTCTTAAAGACAACTGTACGGTCACACAGACCTACAAATATAAAAATACATGAAATTATAGAGGATGACATTTTAAACAATCTTAATTAAGAACATTTCTAATTTCCCATTTTTTTTTTTAAATTTCTTCGTTACAGTACACGTTAGAAAAGTGTATAAGAAAGTTTTTTTAAGATTAGAATATCTTAGACAACTTTCAACTTACTCAGTGTGTCTCCTTAAGTTGAAACCATATGGCAAACTTTTTTATTTTTGGTTTTATGAAAAAAAGTTATTCCTCATAAAAAGTTGTTCATGATCTAAAACCTAAAAAGCAACCATCTGATATCAAATTTTATTAGTCGTATACGAGGTTGGTCAAAATATTTCTTTGACAAACCTCTTGTACCACTGATAAAATTTGATATCTGATTATCGTATTTTCGGTTTTAGACCATGCCTAACTTTTTATGAAGAATAACTTTTCCATAAAACCAGTAATAAAAAAGTTTTTCATATGGTTCCAACTTAAGTAGACACCCTGTATAATGGAAATATCTCTTAAAGTGGAAAAATGACCACGCATAAAGTAAATATTACGGTTTTAATTTAGCTGCGTAGAAATCTACATAAAATAATTACCTAAGCCTCTGTCCTTTAAAAATTGTTGCTCCTTTTTCCCAGGAAAAAAATTAGCATTTGCTAACCTCATTATAAAAACTTTCCTAGTGAATGTTCTGCTTCTTTTTCTCCCTCTTGAAGGAGTAGTACCACTATCTCTCCTTCTAAATGATTGCCTTGTCGTAGTTAGTAGGGACTGGAATTCATTTTCCGAGTCTTCTTCCCTCGTGGGAGTTACTGCTACATTATTGGCAGCTTGCAAAATTCTAGCAGCTACAGTTGCTGCTTCCATTTTGAAGAATTTGCAAGATCTAAAAACCAAAAAGTTGAATTTACATAAAAAAATGTAATTTTTCATTTATTTAAAATTGTATATAAGGCATAATTAATTAGTACCGTAATATTATCGTTTACGCGTGTGTTGAAACATAACTTTATGTATAATTGTACTTACTTACCTTTAACAAGTACACTTTTTTTCAATCAAAACCATAAATAAATGTATAAAACATCAAAACATTAACTTTGTGGCTTTATGCTTGATTTTCCAGTTGAATAGGTTATACAATAATTGCCGCCGAATTCTACCAAGGTACTCGACTCTGTATAGGATTGTTCAATGCATCATCCTATGCTGTCGGAAGTATTCAGAAAAATGACGTAGTTGCCGAACCATCGAATGCGCGAATTTAAAAATTAACATGATTATAAACTGCGATATTTTGTTTAAAATAAGAATAGCAATAGTGAATGTCATGTAAAGGCGAGTTCGGATAGTCAGGGGCTGGAGCGGGACAAATTTTAGGGTGCTTTTAAATGACATTTAAGCGTGTTAAACTGTCACTAATCGGACTAAACCGAACGCTAAAAGGGTCGTTTGGAGTTAAAAGTGTTAAAGGAGTTAAAGGAACTTGGCAGACCGAACGCAATGTAATAAACGCTTTTTTTAAATATACCTATTTCGAAATAAATTGGACACGATAAGAAAAATCTATTATGGAAATTAACGTAACAACAATACATAGGTACATTGGCTTTAAACGACCACGTTACAATACAAGCAATTGTGGGTGGTAATGACACAATATTTTTCAGAACATTTCTAATAGCACACATTTAAAAACAAGGCAATAAAAATGTTATCATCAAAGAACTTTCAAAACTGTTTTTGTCAACAAATATAGTCCAAAGAAAAAAAATGATGTAATTTAATAAAGTATTTTTTGTTATGCGCAAGTATATACACATAGATTACTGAAAATTTTATATTTGGATGTGTCAGATAGATTTAAGTAAATTAAATGTTATTGGAAGGTGGATACTCCACAACCCTTGTTCTCCAATATGTTAACATTTACTTTCAATCAAAATAATCTGATATAAATAATAAAATTGGACCCTTTTAGGGATATATCTTTAGATAATGTAACCAAAATTGCTGGTTGTAGCAGAGATAAATGTAATCTACATAACTTTTGTTGTAACATACACAAATGTATATATTTGTAAAATTTATTAGAACTATCTTTTCCAAAATCAACAGTTAATTTATAAAAAAAATATTAATGATTTTATTTCTTTTTATGAAATTATATCGAAAGCTATATGTAAAAGTTAAATAACTGATTATTTCAGCAAATTTTATGTGATGTGGTGAAATAAATATTTTTTTTTAACATTCACTAAATATAAACATGTTTACAGATGTTTTTTATTTTTCTTCTCAATATAAATTGGTTAATATATTAGTTAAAGAAAGGACACATACCTGCAATATAAACAAAATAGTTATTTTATCTAATATTCTACGTTCAGACCTGTTTACTCCTTTCTGCGCATGCTCGCTAATCCCAAAAATAAAAAGATGGCGGCTCACTATAATAAATTTTTTTGGTTTATTGCATAGCCTATCTCCTAACACTCTAGATCTGTGGATCGATGTGGATAAACAAACGCTTCAAATGTAAAAAATGCATTGGATCTAGTAATTCAAACGCAGCCTTTTTGTATCCAATATCCATATGACAATGGACTGCTTATTTTATAGTTTTTTACAATGTCTGGTAAGCTTAGAGTAGTTTCGGGAAATATTGCGACAACTCCGCCCACGATGTGTCGAAGTAGCAAACAACACACGAGATTCGAAGAAGACGCTTGGCGTGTCGCAATAAATCCCGAAACTACTCTACTTATGTGAATATTCGGCCAGAAATAAAAAAAAACTAGCCAAAGCTTTAAAAAAGCGTAACAATATTATGAACAGCGAAACCGAAAAAAACCGATAAAACCGTTTGAAACATTAAAGGTTCCGGTTCGGTTCCAAAAATTTAATTCTGGATAAAATAACGGTTCAACTTCGGTTCCGGTCCAATAAAAAATTTCGGTTCCGGTCCGGTTTTCTGTTTTTAACGGTACGTTCCGGGTCCCTGACATACAATACAGGGTGCTATATGGCCTATATGGTCCTTAAGTAATTGTACATAGAAGTATGGTAGATGCCCCACTTTAAATATTACGATATAAACCAACTTGCTTTAATAAAATGTTGCTAATAAGGGTGTTATAGGTTAAAACATAATAATCAAGCAGCGGATCCCTAAAATGCGATTATATCGTAAACCGTTAAGTTTTAAGGTTAATAACAAGTATACTTTTCTTCTATTAAAATAACGTGACTTTACAAAAATACCGGTAACTTAAACAGCAAAAAAATTTAGGGCACATTTATGCCACAAATGTAGCCTATGTAGCGCCCTCTACAAAGTACATCGAAGTAAGTACCCAAAAACCTCTATTTTCAAATTTTTATGTATACATATTCAAAAAAAATTAAAGTTATTACAAAAAAGAAATTTTAAAATTTAACTTTTAACATCCTGTATATTCCTTATTAGCAACATTTTATTAAAGCAAGTTGGTTTAAATCGTAATATTTTAAAGTGAGGAATCTACCATACTTCTATGTACAATTACTTAAGGACCACCCTGTATATACAAAAATAATCCAAAAAATACTAAAAACCATGTACCAAACGTATAAACAACACAAGAATTTATAAATAACTGGACAGGGAAATCTTATTGTGCTTACTCAACACGTAACAAATTGAATAGAGAGAGAGAAAGATATTACATAAGACTTGCATTCTGTAGAACGAAGACAGTCGTCTCAACACGTGTCGAATTGAAAGATGAGAATCCAAATGCTGGTCCGGCAATGACGTAACACAGTGAAACGTACATTCTAGATGGGATTAGTCAATCCTAATAGAGAAGTATCCTGGTTCAACTGTTACAACGGTCATCAGTACCAAACATTATGGTACCAAAGCGAAGAAGACAACGATTAGCGGTGTTGCCAGTTATACACCCAGTTTCGCACTTTCCGACAAACGCATTACAGCAGTATAGGCAACCTCAATACATAATGGAAATTGAATTTCTATTATGTATTACATAATTTTAATTCTTGAATTTCAATTATGTATTTCATAATTTTAATTCTTGAATTTCTAATATGTTTTCCATAATTTTAATTCACGAATTTCCATTATGTTTTTCATAATAATAATAAACGTATTTCCATTATGAAAAACATAATAGAAATTCAAGAATTAAAATTCTGAAATACATAATTGAAATTCAAGAATTAAAATTATGAAATACATAATAGAAACTCAATTTTCATTATGTATTTCATAATTTTAATTCTTGAATTTTTATTTTGTTTTTCATAATGGAAATACGTTTATTATTATTATGAAAAACATAATGGAAATTCATGAATTAAAATTATGAAAAACATAATAGAAATTGAAGAATTAAAATTATGAAATACATAATAGAAATTCATTAATTAAAATTATGAAATACATAATAGAAATTCGATTCCCATTATATATTAAGGGTTACCTACAATTATGAATTTCTATTATGTATTTCATAATTTTAATTAACGAATTTCTATTATGTATTTCATAATTTTAAATCGGCAATTTTTATTATGTTTTTCATAATGAAAATACGTATATTAAAATTATGAAATACATAATTTTAATTCTTTAACAGAATAATTGCAGAATTAAAATTTTGGAAGAAAATATTATTTTAGTTTTTTGTTTTTTAAACGATGTTATTAAATACCAAAACGGCGCGCCATATACTTTGATTACTATACGAGGCAAGAGAGAGGTCCGGAAGCAGAAGCGGATGATTAAAACGCACCTGATATTTTGCTTGCTGCTGTCAGTGAATATTATTTTTGAAGTTACAGTTTATTGCTAAAGAATCAGTTAGCTCACTTGGACCAGTTAAAAGTTTCAAAATAACATCCACTCCAGGGATACAAATTCAGGATATGCAGAAGACTGTTGTTTTATTACAGGCGGTTGTCATATATTGTATTATCCGAGTTGCACAGTGTATAAACTGAAACATTGAGATCAAAAGTGCCGACGCAGAGTGAGCGATCTGATTCTTTAGCTGTAAACTGTGTCACAGGGTTCAAAATGGCCGCGCCCTATGTTGGGCGTGTCGGACCTCTCTCTTGCCTCGTATAGTAATTAAAGTATGTGATTTTGAAAGTTTTGATTGTCAATACCTACCATCATTGATATAGTAAAATGAGGAGAACTATAACTATTTTTGATATACAAAAATGGAACCGGTAGACGTGTCTTTTGCACTAACTAAAATGGAGGAAAAGCAGGTCCGGATTTACATGTTCTTACTTCTACTATTTATGGTTAAGTAAATCTGATTTAAATTCAAAAAAATTAATTGCCTTTACAGACGTTTTTGTGAGTAGGTAAGTAGATATAATCTTTATTAATAAAAAAAGTTTTAGTTCATAGTTGTTTATCTTATATGTTATATTTGAATAAAATAATTAAAAAAATATTCTGTTTTAATATTTTTGTACCTAATACCTTTATCTACCTATGAAGGTGTTCATAAAAGACATCACAATGTTTTTAATTTCTACAAAACCCAATACGTAAAAATTATTCAATAAGGCATATAAAAACAAATTTAGAACCACCCGCATCTTTATGGAACCTCCACAGTCATAATTTCTGGTTTTACATTTTTTTGATGAAATTTTTTGTAGTCGTAGGAAAAATATAGTAGATCAATTGTGTAAAAGTTGTTTTTTACACTAGTGTTATTTTTGCACTTGGCTTATGCCTCGTGTGATATTTCCCACTCGTGTGAAAAATGTCACTTTACGTTTTTAATATAATATACTATTTCTCTCATCGTGTTAATGCTATATTTTTTTTACCTTCTTGG